TCTTATCGGTCTTGCCGTTGCAACTCCTCTGTTCTTGCTGTTCAGCCCCGTTTTGGTGCCTGCAGTCCTAACCATAGCATTGGCTGTCACCGGATTCTTGACATCCGGAGCTTTCGGGATTACGGCGCTGTCTTCGCTATCTTGGATCATAAACTACTTGAGAGGGCCGGCGAGAGAGCAGTTGGAACATGCAAAAAGGAGAGTGCAGGATACAGCTGGAACCATGGGACAGAGGACAAGGGAAACTGGTCAGAAGCCTCAAGAAGCTGCAGGTGGGAGAACTTGAGCTTGTGTTGTAGACAGACAGTGATGGGTCTTAGACTATATAAGCAAATCAACTTGGATTCGCCAATGTTTGTAGACATGATCTTGTTTGTAGGCGTCATCTTCTTGGAAAATAGATAAATCTGAGTGTTGTGTGTTTTTACACATTGTGTAGTGTGAAAGTTTTCTTTTTCTAGAGTGGGGCAACATTTGGTTTCTTGTGTAATAAATCCGATGCTTTTTTTACTTTTACTATAGAGTTTCATCACCTTAACAAAGCAGTGCCATTGTCCATTCTCCTTGTCTTTTTATTACGTACTATTTACTTTTAGTTTTCAATTAATCAGTAATTGACTTCCATCATGAAGTTTTTTTCTTATAAACAATAAAAGTAGGAGAGTAATCCAGAGAATGAACTACAAGGGAAAAATAACTTAGGCCACAAAATTAATATTTTAAAGAAAATTTAAAATATAAACTTTCATATTAAATATAATTTTATATATAATATTCCTCCGAATGTTGAAATATAAATATTCATCTTAAATATAATTTTATTTATAATATTTCTCCTTCTGTCAACAAGAATATTTCTCCTTGAATGTGTAGAATATTTTTTGAGTAAGTAAGATAGGATGAATTTGGAAGCAAACTGAAAGAACTAGTTGCATGGATATAGATATAGAGAAAGTCCTTTGTCTTCATAGGGTGATATTAGGGTTCATAGGGTGATATTAGGGTTTTGAGATCGCTCTGACGTCGAATAGATTTTCGACCCGAACAGGTTTTTGACCCGAAAAGTTTCAAATATTTTTGTCGTATGCGGGTACTATGAGGTCCACGACTTTCTTGATCACCTTATTAATATTTCTCCTTGAATGTCTATCAATAAATAATGTGTCTTGTTAAAATTGACTAAAATAAAATTCAAATATTGAAGGAAAAAGAGTACACATAATTAGAAATATATTTTTTGCTTGCTTCGTTAAATTTTTGCAAGAAAAATCCAATGTAACATAACCTTATAAGCGAAAAAGAGTAGAACGCGTATTAATTTCTCCTGATGAGACGGTCAATTTACATCCCCGAGCTCTCATATTCTAATCTTGTGTACCATCTTCAAAAGATCGTTGATAGAGAATTAATACACAAATCAGCCATATTAACTTGAATGAAGATGTTGCACTTTGAAATCATCATTCTTTATAGATATGTGTTGTCTTCATATGATCTTGTTGGAATCTTCATTTTAATATTTTCACATAGGGGTGAAACTTTTACTATCATATTATCATGCATGTAGTTATAGCAAGATACATATGTGCACATATTGCACTTAGGATGTGGTATTTCAAGACCAAGAATTGTATATGCTTTAAGCGGTTTAAATCCTTCAGGGATTGTATATAAGTTAAGTCATATAAGCCATATAAATAGAGTTTAGATGCATATCAAGTTTTCATGTCATGCTAGACATATAAGATAGATAAAAGTGAATACACACTCTGTTGATTTTACACTTTCAAGTATTTGAACTCCACGTCCAAAACTACATGTATTTCATATAAAACCAATTCTACTTGAATTATTTCTCCACACTTCAGATCCTCATATATATTTAATGTATCATAGATGTAGTCGACGAACATTTTATATTGGTTCCAACTTCTTTTTTTCATAAAGACATAACATAGAGATCTCTTCATTCATATTTTCAGGTGCCTCAACCTCTTTGAGATTTTATGAAGTGTTATGTCATGTGATCTTCTAAATCACTTACCTCCTTATTATGATCATTTTGATCATTTGCGCATCTGCTTAATTTATCAAGAATTTTATTTGAAATCGATTTGTCTATACACTTTAAGCGTACCATAGACTTTGTCCTTCTAGGACTCATTCTAATAGGAGCATTTGCAGTGAGAATATAGTTACTTTCTTTGAGCCATCAAATGCATCTAGCATGCTTTGCAATATATTGCAGATGAATTATATTTTATGAACTTCAAGTTCATATTATCTTATTCGAGGATCTAGATGTACAAATGATAATTCATTCTACGTAACTTTTTCTCAACTATTTATCCTATCTCCCCCTCATGTTAGAAAAACTAACTTGCTTCCTCAACTTTGAAAATACATCTTTGTGCGTTATGATGTTAATCAAAATATACACCACACATCAATAATAACAAGATGGAATTATTTGGTTCCCGACTCGGAACCACTTGTGAGGGGAGAATGTAATATATTTTCGTATACAACGTATATCAAACTGATATAGATAACTTTATTCTCATAAGCAATAGTTTAGCTATTAAGTGGATGCACTCAATAAATCATGTTGCTAAACCAACTGTGATGTAAACCAACTTATCAAGATGAAATATCTTGAATAGAAAATCAAGAAATTATGCTCTAAATTAAATTATTGATCAAATTACCTCGCAAACACTAGGTTGTGGGTTAAGACCAATCGCACATGTAACCATCTCATACATGACAAGTGAATGAGCTCATATTCACCTTGATATTTTCAGCATTCATGAGTTCAATCCCAGTTTTTATTGGTCTATTAATTAATGAGAACAAGTAACATTAGAGAATTCATAAAGAACTTTCTAGTTCTTTAATATTTACCCATGTGAATTCTCTTTTATTTTTGCACATCATACTTAAATAAACATGGTTAAACCAATTATGCCAACTGGATAAATTATCAATATTAATAAACTTCAGGTTTACCCATGACATGTGCAATTATCAATAAACTCCAAGTTTATTATGATATGAGTTTTTATATCAATAAACTTCTACTCTATTGTAGCATTCTATTATTTGTGTAGTACAAACTGGAGAATAAATCGGGTAGCTTTTACATACATATTATCCCGCTACAAGTTGTGGTAATAGAAAACATTAAATATTTCCTTTATTTATAGTCTCAATATAATCAGCCGCTTTCGAAAATACTTTAAAAACTCAATAAGTTTCTTTGAGACTCACTACGACACAATACCTTATTGATAATCAATTTTATTTCTCCAAAATAGTATAATTGGCTCTTCTAGAGCTCTCAATTAATTGTGTACTATCACATATTCATCAACATCCATATGGTGAATATCTCTTTCAAGGAGAAAGTTATACCATTATGGTCATGGTCAAAATTATTATAGGCAAGATATGTTGCTTTTATTATTTTTGCCCAGTAATAATCACATTGTCATAATATTTTGGCATAATCAGAATAGGTACATGATCAATGACCATTCATGCCATAATAATAAATTTTATTTTCTTATTTCATTTCAAACCTCATTTTAGAAGTGAGTGTAGTATATTCATTACCACTAGCACGATTATATTCAAAAATCATTTCCTTGACTTCTAAGATGAATATGTATTCATAAAGATTATCTCATTGTTTTCGCATTCACTTTAGGAATGGAACATAAAAATCTATACGTGCTTTATAAAGTCTCACGCCAAATCAATGGCAAATATACCTTCACATTTTGAATGATTATTTGAGAATCCTTATTGTTCTCATTACCACAATAATGATAATTATGATTTCGTCTATTGCCACGTCAACTTTCATTTACACCTCAACGGTAATTATATTATGTCTTATTTCAGACTTATCACATACTGCTACCATATTCCTTTAAAGGAATTGAGCAAATTCAAGGGGACGGATTTTCACTGCTGGTGGTCACAATCATACATGAGTTTGCTCATGACAAAACATTAAAATTTTACTACTTCGGATGGTTATAATTTTTTTCAAAATGTACTAGAGTAAAAGTATATCTTCTAATACAAGAATTTAGTTTATAAAATTATTGTAAAGTAAAATCAATAATCCAATTCGTAGCGACGACTACAAAATAGCAACAGGATTTTCTCCATCAAAGCCTTTCACATACCTTAAAAAACACCACACTGCTTGACAAAATTGTCCTCGGCCTGTACTTCCAATTTTATATTCATACTTCTTAATTATGAAAGAACAAGACCTCAGCTACACTTTGATCTTGAGTATTGCAGAGAAAAGACAAGAGAGAGAATTCCTATTGATTTTAGGATGAATTACAATAGAATAGAACCCTTCTATTTATAAGGAAAAAGTGACTTAGCCACAAGTAACAAACTCTAAAATCTCTCTAAAATATAGACATTTACCTTAAATACAATTCTTTTTATAATAGTTTTTGCCTTTTCTTCTTAATTTTAGATATTTACTGTATCCTCGTGTGAAAGAAAGTAAACTTCTTTGACCCTGACTTCAATTCCCAGTTCCACAGTCAAAGTCGTGGGAATGGATTTTTTTTTCTTTTTACCTTTTTTGTGGGGGAGGCACGAGTGGAAAAAGAGTGAGTTTCACCAGTAATATTTAAGATTACTGCAATGTATGGCCTTACAGGCAAATGCAGTTGAAGCTGTACGGTCAAATCAAGGGAGAAATGGCCAACAAAAAGAAAAAGAAAATGACTTGAGTAGCACGTTAGAATGTTGAAAATTAAATATTTTGCGAGGATTATCAGTCTTTTTGTTGCTAAAAATTGAATGAAGTTATGATTCAATAACTCATTTGGAAAGGTAAGTGACATAGCAATTTTATTGTGACATGGCCTTCATGAGCACGTAAGGGTGGATGTGATTTTGCTTTATCTATTTTTGCCAACTTGAGGTACTTTATAGAATTAGTGAAAATTATGCAAGAATTAAGATTCCAACCAACTGTAAGCGACATGCTGCCGAGTTAATATTTATTTAAGGAACGGACTGCACAAGATCATTCAACTTAATCACATGAAGAAAGACGAATGAAGCAATTAATATTTTACAGAAAAAGGTTGAACAGTATATAGATGCATATTTTATACCTTGAATATGAAGATGTGACACATTTTTTTATGAGCGAAAAATCTGTTTGGAGCCGATCCTTTGGGCCAACCACAGCCTTCTAAACTCAGAGATGATGGGTCCGCTCCGCTGCTCTACTCTTCTTCACTTAAAAACCAGAGTTATTTCGCTTGGCGCAGGGCTTAAACCTGTGAGCTAAGACATGTATCCCTCAACCTTTGCCAATTGAGCTAACCCTTGGGAGCGAGGATGTGACATATTCATGCGCGATTAGTTAGGCTGGCGTTTGGAATATATGTAAGAGGGCAAGGATGCCCTTGAAGCAGTTGGCTTCCCTCCTGGCATAGGCAGCTTAATTTGACTCCTATAAACAATCAATAGAAGGCATAAAAGTAGAAGAAATAGAGCAACTGAAGAAGAGAGCATCTTGCTATGTTTTAGGTAGAAAATGCCATATTGGTATTTTGTAGCATCAGACCATAGGTATTGCCCTTCAATTAGAGCAGCTCCTAATGTCCAAGAAACATCTCCAGGACCAAATACGATCTCGCGCTTACTCAGACACAGAGCATCTTGAATCAGTGATATCATGTAAAGAAACCGGAAACAATATGCTCCTCCAATACCTTGGTGATCTTCCCATGATTGGGAACATAACTGTTGACCCGTCTCCCACATTCTCGTCAAGTTTGCTCTTGGACTCAAATTTAACATCTGGTAGACAGCGAAAAATCCAGACAATGCATGATAACGAGTAACTGAGCTTGAATTTAGCATCAAATTGAGCAACTCATTGCCTGCAGAAAACAAAAGGCAAAAGGAAAATATATAAAACCCTGCATAAGCTCAAACACACTTTTATTTTGAAGGGTAAAATGCATGGTCACGAAAAAGTTATAAAAGAAAGCTAAATTCTTCATGTAATATCTTGCTTATGAATCTTTCGACTAGATTTTACAGGCCAAACAGCCTAAATACACTATTTTAAAGACAAATTACGCGTTGTAGACATCCCCTCTTTTTTAAGGAAACCGGAAATTACCATGTGCTTGTATCGGAAAACAAAGGAAAACACTGCTAGCTTATAAAGAATGTGTGAGGAAAAGCAAGTTATGAAGCTATAAAGCTCTTTATACCAAGATACAAAAGGTCCTGTGCGGAAAAGACAAGGGTCATCCACACTTCTGACCACATGGAAGTATGACCCGAGGGGGGCAAAGCAACCAAAGGGCAATCACAGTTCTTCTCAAAATATAGATCCTAGCTAAGGAGTGTTAATTGAAACTCAAAACATTTTAATCCAGAAAAAGAGAGAAAGATAAGCAATATGCCAAAGTGATAGTCAATTACTATATCTCATCGTAGTTGAATGTACTGACATGGAAGAAGCCAAAAAAGACCTAGATTAAGGTTACAACTGTCGCTATGTGAAAATAGCAATAAAGAAGAGGATGTGGAGGGGAGGGAGGGGGAGAGAGAGAGAGTATCATCTACAAAAATCCGACAGAGGGTCATATTCAAGTTTCGCTTGCAATTAATCAAATATCTGGGAATCACAAAGAGAGGCCAATCTATTCCAATTCCAGCTGAGAAGCATCAGACAGCCCACTTGCTTCCTTGGGAAATATGCTCAATATATTTGATTCAATAGTTGATGCAGTCCTTGTTGTTTGAAGAAACCCTCCACTGCAATTGGTATTTTTTCCAAAATGCAGGCATGAGATAAGAATTCAGTGTTCTAGAACTTCGAATAGGTCTTAAATTCAAGTTCATCCTATTTCAACTCTTCCTTGAAAAAAAGTACAACCAATTCCGAATCATAGTCCTTGTAGTTCATCCCTATAATATACAAAAAGAGGCGATACTCCAAGAACCCACTGTAACTCTAGCCAGAGGCTTCTGATATGCTTCCATAGAGCAATACCACTTGAGCAGTTGATTTGTGTTCCTTCAACATTTTTTCCATATTTTGTGGTCACAACTATCTTCAATTCCTTTCTACTGTTATTGAATCACCGGTTCCACTCGAGCAGTAAACTTCCATTAGGAGCCTTAAACTTCTATCAAGAGCCTTCAGACTTTTCAACCCCAAGCGGCCTCTTTTTTTGTCTTTCGATATGATGCACAAATTTACTAAATGAATTTTCTTCCTTCCAGAGTTGCCACCCAACAGAAAGTCATTCCTCAACTTGTTTATCTATTTTTTCATCAATGGTGGCAGAGGAAGCAAGGACATCAGGTATTTAGGGATTCCATCCAAGACATGTTAATCAGTGTCGGTCTCCCATCAAATGACAGGTACTACTTTCCAAAGGGCCAACTTGACACCTTGCCATACTCCAACATCCTTTAGTTCCCCAAAGGCAATCCTAAATAAACTGTGGGGAATTTATCTACCTTGCACCCAAGATCACAGCCAGAACCAGAACTACATGATTTACATTCACTAAATATATGCTGCTCTTAGCTAAGTTGATGGGTGAACCTGATATAGCCTCAAAAGTTAAGAGTATCACTTTTAGATGCAGCAGCTGCTCCTTACTGCCGCCAAATCTACTATTTGTGTGTATTAAATATTATTAAAAAGAATATGCACAAAAAATTTGCCACAATTTAGTAAGTTAATATTACTGATGAAAATTCCACTGTTTATATAGGTGTCTATCAGGATGATATATCGTAGTTAGTACAACAACCATTACCTTACCCACTCAGACTTGCTTTGCTTTCTTACCTTGCCATATTCCATATCATGCACAGAGATTGTTTGCTAACTTAGGCACCTTTAACAACCTTCTAATCTAAAGTTTGAATGTTGATTATACACTTTGGATAATTCGGAGATATAATAAGAACCCACTGTGCATAGTTAACAAACTTAATTATTTATGACATGATGATAAAAACTTGAGGATTAGAGCAATCACCAATTCCGGAAAGCAGACTAGTCCACGGTCTTAATTGGTAAGAGGGCTTCATCTCTACTCTACTTCAGGTAACAACCATATCTTAATCCCAAACTAGTCGGTGTCAGCTAGATATATCCTCAATCCATTAGGGCCTTTCCGTTCCAACACTCATACTTATTAGTATATGAACTACTTGAGATAACAGCAAATATCTTTTGCACGGGACACTTGTGCAATTGCAGAATACAAAACCTTTTACAAGAGAAACTAAACACATAATTTTAACATTTTTTATTCCATTCCTTTCTTTTTTAGTTAATCACTTGTCAAATTTAGTTTACATTGTGATTTTTATATGATAAGGAGCGGAAGTACATCCAACACAACAACAACGGCAAAAAAGAGGGAAAGAAAAAAGTGAAAATTTGGACATTAATGTGCCAGACTTTCAATGATAAATAACATTCCATAAGGTCAAGCAGACTGTAAAATACATCATAGAAGTTGACTCACCGCCATATGAACTCAAGCCACTGCAACTTGCATGATCATGGACTAAAGACCAATCACCTCTACTCGAATTTGTGGCAACTGCCCTTGTAAGTGATTTGCACATCTCCCAGTTAGGTTCTCCAAGCAGAAGTATAGCATTTGCATTGATGTGACTTCCCAAATCTGAACTTATAGGCTCTCTCTGAAAGCAACTAAGGCATGTATAGTTTTGCACAAAACCAGAACAAAGACACGGATGTCTCACTTCAAAGGCGCCGCCAGGACTTTCTTTAAGTGCTTGTGTACGACTAAGCATAACAACCGTCCTGTCAAATGCTTCATTCAAACCGAATGCTGGTAACGAGTATGGTACTATCTGATGCTCAGGTGAACCGATCTTTGAATTAAAGACATAATTATCAATTTTCAATTCATCAACTTCAACTACTAGCTGCAATGAAGAACCCCCTAAATCGAGAAGTCCCAATGTGTGTGATCCTAACGAATTACCCAACACTCCCATCTTGTAATTTAGAGCAATCCAACCATAATACGCCTCTTCCTTCCCGCTTAACACCCTAATCCAATCTTTCTTATATAAAAAACCAAAATCCTTTACAACATCAGCGACGTCTTCCAAAATCACTCTAGCATCCTCAACTGGTAATTTCCTCATTCCAGCAGTAGCCAGAACAAAAATGGGAGTGAATTCCCGTCTTTCCCGTGGCACCAACCGCTCCGCCCAATGAAGCAAAGGATCCAATGATGATCTAACGCCGAAAGCATTTCCAACAAATTTGTCCAAACCCGGCTCGGTTTGCATACAATGGTATTGACAACCATCACTCTTTGTCAAGTTCCCTGGATAAGTATTCAGCAAAATTGGCAAATCTCCATTATTATTCAATCTACCTTGTAATTTCCACTCATAAATATTAACTCTTGTACCAGAGCTTCCACAATCCACTACAACTGTAAAATATGAACTACTACTTTTCTCAACATTGTAAACCAAACTAGGACTAAACACAAAACACCCACCAATCAATACAAAGATAAAAACAATAGAAACTGCTATTATGCCAATTTTTTGCATTCTTGGATTGTGATCAGCTCCGGATACATAAAGCTTTGATTTTGATGGCCATCTGGGGTCCATTTAAAAACGAATACATGAAGAAAGCATGGATTTTTAACGTATTATACTTTACCAAGATAAGATTGAAGCATACCAGTTATAGTTCAGTGAAATGCCATAAGGTTGTACTTTTATATAATCCACAGTAAGATTCGTCTCCTTCCAAAAAGATAGATTGATAAATATAATCCCACATCGAAGAGAGACAAAATTGGGGTGGGATACCCCTGTGAGGGTGGGGTGGGAGAGGGTGGGGTGCTGGAGAAGCGATGAATCAAGATTCAAGAGCTACAGTGAGGAGCTGAGGATGTGGAAAGAGAGAACTGGTGAAGAAGATGTACTAAAGTTAATTGCATTTTGTGCCCACTAATGTTTTGCATAAAGTATGATTAGTACCCAAACGTTCCAATTGTGTTAGTAGCATCTCAAATCTGTTATTACTTGCTTTGAAATAGTCCCTGGCCTAATGGCCTTACCCCGCGATTAATTTTTGGCCCCATAGTCTTTCTTTGGTGGGGACTTTTTTTTTTGGCAGCGAAGACATACATTAAACTAAAGGGTCGTTTGGTAGGGTGTATAAGAATAATGCGGAATAAGGTGTATTAGTAATGCAGGGATTAGTAATGTATGGGTTAGTAATGCATGAGTTAGTTATGTAAATATTATTTTTTATCTACTGTTTGGTGTGGTGTATTAAAACTTATAATGCATTGCATATATTTTAAAAAAAATAGTTGTTTACAAAAATGCCCTCCATATTCTCTAGCTTTAATGGACTTTAAGAACAATTTTATTTTTAATCATACTAATGCATACATTAATAGTCTTGGTATTACTAATGTCATGATTTTCTATGCATTACTTATACATAGTATAATATCAAGTATGATGTATAACTAATATAAGTATTAAGTACATCAATGAGTTAAAAAAGGGAAACAACTTTTTCTCTCCGTACAATTACTAATGTCGGCCCTTAACGATAACATATTTGACGCGTCAACCCTACGCTCCGCCTCATGGAACCATCGGACGATGTCCAAAGGGCGTGTACTAACAGCCAAAATGAACCTCCAGTTACGGCGACTCCAACTGCTGAAGCAATTGCAGGAAAATTAACTTATGCCACCACTGTAACTAACGCAACAGCTACTCCAACGACCACCGTCCGACACCCTCGAGAATAGTGATTGCTCGACAAACTACTCACAATGGGATGGCGACGGTGATTTTTAAAGCTAAAGACTATTACGGAATCATGGCTGAAGAATGCAAATTGACTATTGTTGGTAGGTTTCTGAAGCCTCGTCCTCAAATCGAAAGGATAAGGTCTAGTTTCAGAGAGCTTTTTTCAATTAAAGGTGATGCCAAGATTAGAGTCTATGATAACTACAATGTTTTCATAGATTTCACCAATGAAGATGACTTCAAATCTGTATGGTACAAGAGGGTGGTCGAAATTGAAGGATTACAAATGTGGCTACAAAAATGATTGCCGGATTTTAAGCCGGATGAAGACATTCCAATTGTCCCGCTATGCGTACTTCTTCCAGGTATACCATTCAATATTCATACATGGCATTATGTTAAACAAATTGTCAGTAATGTTGGCACTCTATTGGCCTTAAATGCTGCTACTTATGGTAGAACAAGGCCTAGTATGGCTAAGGTAAGGGTCGAAATAGACTTAACGAAACCCATACCTAGTAGTGTATGGGTGGGCTCTAAGGATGAGAAGTCACAATATGATGGTAAAGTTGGGCACAATATGATGAATTGTAGAGTTCTCGAGAAAATAAGAACTGTAGAATTCAATGAAGGGGAAACAACTGCTGAAAATATGATTCCATTGCAAACAGAAGAAGGAAGTAGTAAAAATCAGGAAGAGAATAGTGTAGGCAATGGAGGCCAAAAGAAGGGTATGGCAAAGCAGAATGCTACAAAAGTTGATAAGGGTGTGGCAAAACAGAATGCTAATATTAATGTTAAGAAACGAGAGGAGCCTACCAACAAAGAAGTTGCTGAATCATCAAAAAAAAAAAATACTGAAGAAAAAAAGGCAGCCAGTTCTATGGTAAATGGGAGTACAAATGGTAAAGTTGAAGCTAATAAGAAGCAGGGTCATGGAAACCAACAAAGAGCTGAGATAGCACAAGCTAACACTAACAATGTGACTATATTTTCAGCACGACCTATAGTCACAGAGAGACTAAGCAAGAGGAAGGAAAAAAACAAGAAAGTCAAGAAAATGCCAAAGAAAAAAAAAGCAAAGTAATATTCAGACCAGCAGGAAAATAGTAAAAGAAGGATAGCAAAAGCCACCAAGTATATTCAAAGTGAACCGTCCCTATTAGAGATCAAAGAGAGTATCCAAAGTCAGAGTGATCAAGGAAAACAGAGTCACCAACAGTAGGTACAAACAATTATTATGGATAATAAACCTACTGCAGATATTGTAGAAGCTCCAAACATTTCTAAAAGAAGATAGAAGGCATGATAAGGGTAAGCCAGGGGATATTGACAACACCACAAAGGTTGATCAAGAACATCAGCTAGCATTTACGGGTGCTAATATGGTCAGTGATAGCTCTAGTTCATCCACTTTACCCCATCGGATATTATTAATCAATAGGGACTGAATTTGTTTGTTGAATTGAATATTCCCAAATTTATCCATCCGACTAAGAATAGCGATGAGGTTAGTAGTGATCTTCTTAGACAGACAACTTCTAAATGCTGCAAGGAAACAAAATCAAATACTCAGGAGACTAACAAAAGTCTTCAAGACAAGATGAACAATAAATATCAAACAGGTACCACCGAGGAAGGAGAAAGAATCCAAACTAGGAAAAATGAAAGAAGGCACATGAACAAAGTTGCTCCTTTACAGAAAAGGAAACAACAAGAGGATCTGTCCCCAACTAATTCTAAAGATTAGTACAATTTTTTGGAACATTAGAGGGGTGAGATCAAGAAAAGCCATCCATAGGCTTAACACTTGATCAACATAAACAAGACACAATTTGTGGCCATCTTTGAGCCTTTTGTGAATAATGAAAAGCTTGATGGTTACAGGAAGTTTCTTGGATTTCAACATTGTATCTCCAACTGCAATGGTCAAATTTGGTGCTTCTGGAACTTCAACTGTCACTCTGTATTGATAGCTGAGGATGAGCAACATATTACCATAAAGTTTGAAGATGGTATTAACAACCACAATTCTTATATTTCAGCAGTTTATGCGAAATGCACTTCAACCGAAAGAAAAGACCTTTGAGACAGCCTTGAACAAGACAATCTTAGCATTGATGGTCCTTGGTGTATTGGAGGAGGCTTCAATGTCATTACCAATCCAGATGAAAATCTAGGAGGAAGGCCTCATAGGGTTCATAGAAGCTTGGATTTTATTAACTGCATGGACAATTGTGGGGTGACTGATGTTGGTTTTTCTGATTCTAAGTTTACATGGTGCAATAATAGAAGGCCTAGCAAGAGAATTTGGAAAAGACTTGATAAGATTTTTTTAATGACATGTGGGCTCAGAAGTTCCAGATCACTATTGTGAGACACTTGGCGAGAACTGGCTCTGATCATAGGCCGTTACTCATGAAGTGCTTTAACACTAACCAAAGCCACGTTGGTTACTTCAAGTTTCTTAATTTATAGGTTAATCAAGAGGGATTCCTAGACATTGTTAAAGAAGTCTGGGAGTCCAATATAATTGGCAATCACATGTGGATCTTACAATCAAAATTGAAGCTTCTTAACAGGAGATTGAGCCAGTGGTCTAGAGCAGATTGGGGACATCAATGATCTGATTATAAAATGGGAGGAAAAAGTCCAAATATTTGAGGATATGGATGCTGCTACCATCTCTTATAACAGCAGGGAAGAATCGAATAAAGCATATGTTGAATATATTAAATGGTTGAGTATGCAAGAGTCTCTCCTTAAACAGAAAACTCAAACTAGATGGTTTGACGAGGGAGATAGCAATACTAGGTACTTCCATAGACTTCTTAGAGAAAGGAGAAGGAAACAACAGTTGAACATGATTAAGAACCATAGAGGGAAATGGATTAAGAAAGAGAAGAAAGATATGGCTTCTCTAAATTATGGATAGAGTTAGTCCAGAACCTTATCTCTTGGGTTTGGTACTCTATTATTATTAATGGCTCTAGAAATGGCTTCTTCACTTCTTCTCAAAGCTTAAAGCAAGGGGATCCTCTTTCTCCCTCTCTTTTTATTCTTGCGGCTGAAGTTTTATCTAGATCCCTGAATAATGTCAGTCGGAACAACAACTTCATTCCTTTCTCTATGCCTTCTAGAGGTCCTACTAATCTAGATTATGCTGATGATGTTGTTATCTTTAGCAGTGGAAGTAGCATTTCTATTAAAATGATCATGAAGGTGATAAGGGATTATAAGGAGAGCCATTGTCAGCTTGTTAATAGGGATAAGAGCTTCTTCCTAACGACCCCTAAAACATGTGCCTCCGGGATCAATAGAATGAGACAATGCACAGGCTTTCTTGAAAAAGATTTCCCTATTACTTACCTTGGATGCCCTCTGTATGTTGGTAGAAAGAAATTGCTTACTTTGATAATATGGTTCACAGGGTAATTAAAAGACTCAATGGTTGGTAGGGTAACATGCTTTCTCCTGGAGGCATAATGGTGTTAATCAAGAATGTTCTACAATCTCTGCCGATATACACTCTCTCCGCTATGTCCCCTCCTAAAGCTACCTTTCATGTAATTGAAAACCATTTTGCCAATTTTTTCTGGGGTAGTAGCGGGGATCAAAGAAAGTACCACTAGAGGTCCTGGAAAAATCTTTGTTTTCCTACAGATGAAGGAGGCATAGGCATAAGAAGAATAGAAGATATCAGTGAAGTATTAGCCACCAAAAGATGGAGATTTAGAGCTATTCCTTCTCTATTGGCCAACTTCATCAAACACAAGTATTGCATTAGAGCTCACCCTACTACTAAACAATGGGCTTCTGGGAACTCACATTCTTGGAAACATATGATCCAGGTTAGAAAGAATGCAGAAAATCACATGGTATGGCATGTTAATTCAGGTGATTGTAGCTTTTGGTGGGATAATTGGACTCATAAAGGTTCTCTAGCAGCCCTAGTCCCCGTGACTAACAAAAGCCCCAAGATTCTAGTCAAGGATTTCATACAAAACGGGGAGTGGAATATTCACAAACTTAAGAGCATTCTACCAGAATCTTTGGTGCAGCATATTATTGAAATTCACATTGGGAAGAGGACAATTCTAGACAAAATTTGTTGGGATTTGTCAGAGGATGGAAACTACTCCAACAAAACAGCTCTTGAAATGATCAGAACTAGCAAACCTAAAGAACTAATCTTAAGCAAGGTATGGCATTCCTCTATTCCTTTTAAATTTTTTTTTCTTACTTGGAGATTGTGGAACAGAAATCTACCTTTTGATGATTGTATTGTCAACTTTGGGAAATCAATGGTTTCTAGATGTAACTGCTGCTATTGTATTGTCAACTTTGGGAAATCAATGGTTTCTAGATGTAACTGCTGCTCATCTCCCAAAAGTGAAAATGTTCAACATGTTTTCATGGAAGGAGAGGCAGCTAGTTATATCTGGAAACTAATAGGTTCCCCATTAGGCATAACACATCATCAGATGTCAGTTAAATTTACCATTAATAATTGGTGGCAGGTTAAGGCCTTGAACGATGTACATAAACTTGTGCTACAAATCACTCTAAGTATCATGCTGGACTATTCGGAAAGAAATATGCTCGTGTAAATATGGCAACCAAAAGAAGTTCAACTTATTCAAAATGGGCCAACAAGTTTGCCGGATAGTTGGAGCAGCTATATCCAAAGCCTTTCCGAACTGCAAACTCTCTCTTCCCTGGAATAATCTTTATGACAACCTAATGAAGCTACATCCTATCCCAAGGATTACCATAGTTCTCTGGAACAAACCTGGAGTAGGCACTTTCAAGCTAAAAATTGATGGCAGCTTTCTAAAGGCGAATAACATGGCTAGAATGAGAGGGATTCTAAGAAATGATGATGGCGACATAGTTATGGATTTCTCTATCCCTACTCAGTGCAGTAGCAACAACTATGTAGAAGCTCTGGCAGCTTGGTTTGGAGTAAAATGGTGTGTTGAACATGGTTACACAAATTTTACTCTAGAATTAGACTCTATGATTGTGACTAATATGCTGAAGGAGAAGAGAGCTCATAACTACAAGATGAACAACATTATAGAGTACACTTTTCAGATGTTGGAGCAGGCTAATGTTAATATTATACATTGCTATAGGGAGGCCAATCAAGTTACGGATTCCCTTGCTAAACTTGTTGCTGCATCAACAAAGGAATCCTGTTACTTCTCCTTCCAACAGCTTCCAAAAAATGTCAAAGGACCATATCAATTAGACAAATACCAAATGCCTAGCATCAGAACTAAGTATGATAAGGCAAAATTTTTTGTTAGTTAGGATCTTTATTTTGGACTGGGTAAGAGATGCAACAAAATCCCCCTTCCCAGTTTTCTGAAGGATAACCTTTTATCCTTGTGTTGTATTTTGGAGGTCAAGGATATATCCCCCTCTTGTATTCCTTGCTTTATTGAAATACAACTCCACGGCTAACCTGAAAATTTTATAATAAAAAAAAAGTTATACACAGGTTGAAAAAATGTACCAAACAAGGTATTAGTAATCCATAGAGTTAATGCTTGCATTATTTTTTCTAATACCTCGTACCAAACGACCTTTAATAAGAGTCATTACATAGAGAGACTAGCCTGGCGACATATGCCCATTTTATCTTGTTCAAAAGTAGAGACAACAAAAGTAGGTGGTACATAAAATAATATCAAGCTTCCAAAAATGTTTATCTTGTTCAAAAGTAGAGACAACAAAAGTAGGTGGTACATAAAATAACATCAAGCTTCCAAAAATGTCTGAGCTACTTCCTTGCCAGGGCGGACTCACATGGTGTCAAGAGGATTCAGTTGATCGTTGAAAAATTATATTGTCCATGTTGATAAATTATATTTAAGCAGATAACATTTACATAGAAAATAATAAATTGAACCCACTTTGAACAAAGATACTCTTTGTCGAGGTGGTCGAGTGGGTTCAAAATGTTTGGGGGATGCCAAGTTCGAATTCCATTTCTTCCTTCTTTGAACTAATTCTTTTAATCTGTATTCTGAGAGGGAGCGTATGCAGCCAATAGCCAAGATTGTGTTTAAGATTAACTAGAGTCCTTCTAATATTACTCTTATGTCCACCCATATATCATTTTACTATGTTGCTTTATCTTTCTTTTCTGCCAGAACACAATAAAACTTATTCTAGTTTGGTATATAGGTCCAAAAAGTTGTTACTTGAATTAATTTACTATTTATAGATTTATTCTCTCCGCTCTTCAGATAATAATCTCTTATTAGTAAAAAAGAAAATTCTAGATTTATTTAAATATTTTAGAGTTGACAAATTTTTGTTAAATTACTAAATATATTTACAAGCAGAGATAATAAATTTGTTTGTACCTTTTAAAAAAATTTAATTTTGTTAAAACTATAAAGTTTCAACTTTAGAATAACATTGTGTTAAGAACAATAAATAAGTAAATAAATAAATGATCAAATCTTGGTTGTCATACCCGACATCATTTATACTATTACTTGTGCTCGTCTTTAACTGAACCCGCTTATGCAAAATCCTAGGTCCGCCATTATTCCTTGCTATTTCAGCTTGTCTGCGGCTTCATTTGCCTCCCTAAAGACGTGCCTCAGTGGCGGATCCCCCACATCCTGTAATAACCCGATGAAATCATCAACAAGGTTTTAATAATAACAATCAATGTTAGTCAGCATTTTAACTAAATCTTTGCAGTCAATTATGATAACCAGTGGGTATAAACCTTTATTCTTTGCAAGTTTTTAATCCATGGAGTAATGTTAGAGCTTCCATATAAATGTTAGTAGCGTGTGGAAGAGCCAAATTAAATTCTAATATCTAGTTACTATTAGTATCCATGAAGACTCCTCCAATGCCGCCCCTTCCTGGGTTACCTATGCAGGATCCGTCTATGTTGAGTCCTAAGTTATTAGAATCTGGAGGTTCTCATTTAATGTACATAATGGATTTAGCAAGCTTTGGGTGGTGGGTCTCAGTCATGAACTTAAACTCCACTGCTTTGTTAATGATGTGGCTAGCTTGAACAGTAGTGTTATTGTTTCTAAAAGGAAATTATTTCTGGTTAACCAGAGGTGCCAGAGAATAAAGGGAAGGATTTCCTTCCAACTGATAAGCTCATTAAACATACTTTTGGAGTTAAGTTATTTTTTCAACCACATAAATGTATATCATTATCTTCGTTCCTTTGGTGAACGTTGTGGTTGAAATTGATCTCCTCCCAGATTTGTTTTGAGTAAGTGCATCTAAAAAAAACATGCTTGATATCCTCTCTCTCCTTGCAACAAATGTTACACATATCTGTTTCACTAATATTTTTTCTTGAGAGCATATGGGCAGTGGGTAGTCTATTATGAACTACTAACCATAAGAAAGCTTTAATCTTATTAAGAGTGGGAACTTTTCAAATCCAACTGTAGTTTTTTATATCTACAAGGTTTTGTGGAGAGATGAAATAAGCTCGTAAGCCGCTTTCGTTGGAAGGTATTATGATTGATGGTATTTTAATTACATTTATCCCTCGATGGTGAACCATACTTAATACAGGTGCTATGGATTTTGTGCTTTATGCTATTAGGAAGATCGAAGAATATGGAATTCAGGTTAATGGTACCATTATACAGGATTGTGGAAAGGGCTTGGTTTGATTCATGCTACATTACTGGGTCTTGTATAAGATTTCTTAAGGGTTCTGAGTGATTAATTCATTTATCCTCCCAAATGTTGATGGAATTTCCATCCCCTATTGTCCAATGGAGGCCTTTGTCACAGATATTCTTACCTTCTATAATGTTCTTCCAAATATGCGAGCTTGTTACTCTATTACTATTTTGGAGCCTGTTAGAAATATTTTACCTAATAACGTATTTATTATGAAGAAATTGAGCCCATAGAGATTCCCTATCCTTTGAATATCTTCATGCTAAGGCTGCTTTGAAAGAAGAATTTGTTCATTGGGATTTAGACAACCATAACCCTCCCTCTCTTTTTGAGCCGGTGTCTTTATCCCAATTGATAAGGTAGCATTTTTTTCCTATCATTAGTGCTTCACCACAAGAAGTTTCTTTGGATGGCATCAATCTTATTAGTAGTGGCCTTTGGTATTCCGTAGAATTGCATCAAATGGCTAAGGATAGCTGTAAGTGTGGATTTGATTAAGGTAGACCTTCCTGCTATGTTCAAGAAACTAGTTTTCAACCTTGTAATCTAGTATTAAGCTTATAAATAATTAATTGGAAATGTTTATTGAAAATTCTATGGTTGATCATTGGGAAGCCAAGATATTTCCAATACTAGTTATTTGTCTCATGGACAGACTTTGGATAATATGTCTTTTGACATCTTGAGGGGTGTCTTCGGAGTACAGGATCCGAGATTTGTTAAAATAAATAGTCTGACCAGATATGTTGTAAAACTTGTTCAAGGTGTCTTGTCACGACCCAAAATTTCCTCCACAAGAGTCCTGATTGCACCTAATTTCTAAAATTAGGTAAGCCTAACACTCAATATTTATTTAAAATAGTAAAAACATGATATAACAAAACAGAGTTTTATATAAATGCGAAAATAAGAGTAATACAGGACAAAGCGGCAATACTCAACACAACTTCCCAGAACTAGGTACTATATAGTCACGAGCCCTAACTGAATACACGAATATCCCTACATACACTACTATCGGAAATACATAAATAGTAGAAATAAAATAATGAGGGTGACTCCGAGGCCTCCGGGCGGATCATGCAGGGATAACTTAAAGTTTCCAATATATGATATACCTCACTACTGATCAGTTCGGTATGAAGTAGCTGGATCTGCATAAAAATATGTAGAAGCATAGTACAAGTACACCGCAATAGTACCCAGTAAGTATCAAGACTCACTGTTGATACCTAATTTTTCCCTATAATACTTTTTAAGTGCATACATACCTTCAAAACTATGCATTAACATCGATTGATATATTTTTATAAATTCTACATTTAAATTAATTTATCCTAGTATTTTATTTATATAAATAATTACAAAATTGCATCATAAATGACTTTATAGCATTTCATGACTTAATATTGCTATTTATAGTTAGATTAAGTTCAAATTATTTCACAAATGACCAGATTTACACTTTTTGGTTACAATTGCAATAGCTTTGCAATTATAGCCCATGTATACATTATCACATTATTTTACCAGAAAATGGCTCATTGTATTTTCTAAATATGTAGTAATTGTTTTAAAACATTTTTGTGCATGAAATTTATTTTTATAATATGTTAATTATTATATAAAATATTTTTTTATAAATTGTTTGGGTATTTAACAAATAGCCCCATTTGATTCCAAATATTTTTCGGACCTAACCCCTCAAACCAGCCCAAAACCCTTTTTAAAATTAGCCCCAAATCCCCGTAGGCCCAAAGCTACACCTGCCCAACCCAATTGCCCGTTTAATCGTGGTCGTTGATCAGTTTGATCAACGCTCCACAAACCCCCTTACCATAATTAATCCTAAACGACCCCCCCCCCCCCCAAACCCTCTCATTCTCTTCTTCACCCGCCGTCATCATCTCCCTCTTCTCTCAAACTCTCTCGACCTAACCCTAACCCTAAACGTCGTCACCGGTGTAAAACCCCTCTTACGATGCTCCTATGTCTCCTCCGACCATCACTAGTCTCCTACAGGCCATGGCTCTTCGATTTCCTGAAATCCTTGAAAGGATCTCAAAGAAATCCAACTGGTTCTGGTTCGAAACTTGTTTACCGGCCTTCTCAGGCCATTTTTATTTGTAAGTGAAGGATTCCTCCTTGTTTTGTTACGAATCTATGGGCTCTTGACCTATTCTCTCATCTCTGTTGTTCTTCTGAAAATCCTAGTTCATTGATGTCGACTCTTCTCAGATCTTCATAGATCTGAGATGATTTGGGTATTATCAAATGTTTTCCTTCAAAAACCCATTGCTTAATTGATTATCTCGCTTTTTAATCACTCTTCCTAAACTAGGGTTCATCCCAAACTGTTTTTCAAAGATTTTTCTAAGTTATTAATGTTTAGTAAATTATTTCTTCTTCACCTCGACTGATTTTTGCATGAGTGTTTAAACCCTAGTTGATTCTATGTGATATACTGATTTCTTCAATCTTTGCTTCGATTTTGGGTATTTCTGTGATACAAGTCGTATTAGCTTACTCTATCTTTTGGACCTAAACATTTTTACTTGTTAAATCCAGTATTTTTGTGGTTTTGCCCTAATTAATCTCTGTTAAGGTTCAAACCTGCTTTTCCGGCTAAGTTCTATATTTTTGTGAGGTCTTACTTAGTTTAATTTATGAAATTTGGGTGATTCTTTTGGTAAAACCAGTATTATTTGAGGTTTCTTACTGATCATTATCTTTTCCTTGTTAAATTTGTGTGCACATATCTTGTTTGTTTCCTTATTTGTAATTTTAAT